CTAGCCCTCCTCAGTTCCGAAACTATGTACCGAATGTTAATTACAATGGCATGCCTGGTGGTGTTTGGCCTGTGAATAATAATATAGGCGGAAGTGGGCAGCTGGGAAATGCTATGATGAACCAAGCACTTCAAAGTCTTGCTGGATTTGGACGATTTGGCGGTTCCTCTAATCAGGGTTTAGGCAATATTCAGGAGCAGCTGATTCAACAAATCCTCTCTGGTGGTGGACTTGGCGGTGGGTCTGGTGGTGGCAATGATTTCGGTGTTGGTTTTAGTACTGATTATTTTGGCAGCAGTACTGGTAGTATTGATCCTTCGTCATTCGGATCCACTGACTTCTTCAGTGGCGCAGGAGGATTAGGAGATTTCACTGGTTTCAGCTCTTTTTGAGAATATTATCAACGTAATTTGTTTTGCAGGAATAAACAACCATGATCCTCCTTAGCTTACATCTTTGCACACGGGTAGAGCCACACTGGCCCAAAGTCATTGTGGCGCTCCTAACTCCAGCATTTCATGTAAAATTTATATTAAACTTCTGTAATTGTTGGAAACATGTTGAAAAAATTTATATTATTGGCATCGATCCGCAATTATTAAACTTGTATCGGTCACCTCTTAAGTAATAAATTTGTATTGTTGGCCCTCCCCAAGAACTGAAACCTAACTCTGGCATTTTCTTCGCTTAGTAACTAATCATTTCATTTTGAAAGACACAAATTAGTTAGTTTCTTGTCGTGCAAGCTTCTATCATAATTTCATTCTATTAGGGTTTATATTGCTAATCAGGGTCCGCCATGGCCCAAACAATGGCGACAGCCTAGGGCCCATTTGGATAAGGGGCACAAAATTTTCTTCTTATAGCAGATTTGCATAGACAACAAAGAAAAAGGAAAGAAGTAAACACGTTTAGGGAAAAATTACTCCATGTATTATACATTTCAGTAAGTGTGAATTTGATTTTAATGTTTTGACCAAAAGCAAGATCATCTGTGCTTACATCCAAATCTTGCTCAGCCAAAATTCAAACTTTCATAAGCTCTCAATACTCGCAGTCGTCTTGTCCTCTACCTATTCTTTAATGGTCTCTATGTAGCAAAAATTCTACGAAATTAAAGAATAATATTGAAATAATTTCTTCAGAGGAACATGATAAGCTATCCTCAATTTCTCTCTTTTTCTTCATCAATCATCATCATTATGGATTTTGAAAAATTAAGGTGGCATTTCTGTTAAATTTTTCTTACAGGTGACAAATTGAAACTGAGGTATAAATTCATGTGACATATCTACAGAAATCCTTATTTATTAAAATTCATCTTTCATGCTTCAGAATTGATTGCTGAAAATTTTGGTTGCTTTATTGATATTCCTTCGGGTTGTGTTCATTGTTGATTTTTTATTTATTATTATTATTTTTTTATCCTTTTACTTTCAACTTAGTATAGAAATTGTCTCTTCTACCCCGGAAAATTCATTTGCGGCGGCCCAGTGTTGGCCGCAAGATTGTTTTCGTCTTTCTTGTGTAGGCATGCCACTGTTGGCAATAAAAGCTCCAACAGAAAGTGATTGAAAAATGTAAAATGCATTCCAATATCAACTCTAATCATCAATCGATTGTGAATTGGGCGGGGACTGACCCAATATAGGTTCTTTTCTATGCCTCAATGAAGAAGACTTCAATATTTTTCTAGTGCGAAGATAAGAACAAGTAGAAAATAAAAATAACATAAATGAAAATGAGAAACATGATATGGAATTGAATATTTCTCAATTTAGTTCAATATCGATGCAAACTCAAAGTAAATAACATATAGGCTATAGCTACCCTAAACTGAGGATTTCTCTACTTAGTTCATTGTAGCTATAGAGTTGAAAAGTAAACGACAGTAATGAAAATGATGAATATTTATATGAAGATTTCTCTATTGATATAAATATTGGAATATAAAAGTAAACAACATAGTATGAAGATTTCTCTATTCATACTTGGTACAGAAAAACTAAAGGATTTGGCCTAACTACTGGGTATCAATACCAAGTGTTGGCAAAGCATAAAATAAAAAGATAACAATTTGGAGTTTTCAACTCGTGATCTTGAAGGAAAAGCAAGTTGTTTCAAGCTTGTTTGTACCATATCTGACCAACCATTCACGTCGTGACACGTGGAACACGCTCAAAGCCGAGACCAGCTCAACCGGGCCATACCGAATGTTCGTTCGACACGCTCTACCGATTCAAGGGGTCAACTATGCACCATCAGTCCCTTCGCTAACCTTCGGCATGGTATGCCGAGCAACCAACCATCACGTCAATCCAATTCTGTCAGATTACCTCAGAACTTCTGCCGGAACCTGTCAGAGCATGTGTTGATCTCCAAAGACACTCTCATGAGTCCCACATTGAAACTAAGTGCCAAGAGCATCACAAATGCTCTCTATAAATAGAGCCCCTTGGCCCAGCCAAGTGGTAAGACTTTCTGACTTGACTAGTGCTTCCATTGTCAATAGAATTGCTCTTAGTTACTAACTTTGGCATCGGAGTGCCTTCGGCAGGTACCACACCGGTATCCCTTCCTCAGTTCGGATCCAGCCCCTGCTCTGGCCTTCAGACATCGCGGAAGAAGGTCACTCCAATCCTTAACCATCAGCACACTTGTAAGTTAGCCTAAACTCTTATCTGTTCAGATTTAGTGCGAACAAAGCTTGAGGTTTTCAAGTTGTTGAAGACGTTGAGTCTGTTTGAGAGAGTTGTGTGTGTTGAGCTAATGACTTCTCCTTCTATTTATAAAGAAAATGAGGTCGGTTGAGTGTTAGGACTAGCATCTAATGAGAAGTACATACTTTTCATTGATTTTGGTGCGTGGGTTGCTAAAAAAACAAGCAAAACCAAAAAAGTTGCTTTGGTGTTGTTCCGTATGTGAAGCTCCCTAGATAATTCAAAATATCTTCCAAGCAAAACTTGTTCCCCTCCATCAGCAAGCTTATTGTATCATTCTTTTTTTTATAATAAGCCCAGGCCTCCATGCTGATTCACGCACCTCCATTGATTAACAAAAGTTTGCCAGCATGCCATTTAGATTCTTCTCCGAACCTACTTTGATGTGTGACAACCCGAGCAGGATAAATTCATCTAAATGCTACACATATGAAGGAACAACTTTTGTGAAGAATCGAATGCATGTGAGCACCAGAAAATACGATTTGGCATGGCTCAAAATGACTGGTCGTCATAGACAGTTCCTTCGAACAAACTTCATTGTTTAATTCGTTGAGTATTCCACTCTTGTCCAAATGAAACCCAATTTGGATACAAAACAGTAGACACTCCAATGAACAACTTCCATGAAGAAAGAAAGTTCATTGGAGTTTTGGAAGTCTTCATCAAACTAGGCTTAATGTTGATACTACTACTTTTATCTGGTGTTTGCTTCTCAGAGGATTCAATACTTATTGAAATGCTGCACATTTTTTATATGTTGTAGGAAACATCCAGATGAACAACTTTCATGAAGCAAGAAAATTCATTTGAGCATTTGTGAATTCCCAATTTGGGTTTGATTCTAAACCCAAATTTCAAATCCCCAAATTTGGGTTTGACACAAAGACGGAGAGATAGAGAGAGGAAGGCTGGGGGCGGTGGAGAGCTAAAATGGGCATTTTTAGTTGAGCTCACAGAAGGTGAAATGGATGACGGAATCGCCGGACTAGGTGAGCCATCCACCTCGCTCATAGACGAGCACACATTTGTTGGGTTGTGATGCTTGAAAGATGACAATATCGGTGTTGAGCTGGTGAAACTCACCTTTACCAGGAATCGACTTAACGAGTTTGAGTTGTTGGAACTACAAAAATTCTCTCTCTCTCTCTCTCTCTCTCTCTCTCTCTCTTCAATTTGGGAATTTCCATTTCTGAGTTTTGGATTCCACTTCCTATAATTTTTCCACAGAAAGAGACATGAGATGAGGTGCATCAAATATGAGGCTGGTGAATGGGGGAGGTGCGTCGCAGAGAAGGGGTAAATGAAATCGGGTTGGTGCTAGGTGGTTGGGAGGCAATTGGTGGCTGGGTTCGTGAAGATTGAGGGTTGCGTAGGTTTTCTTTTCTTTTTCTCTACATGGAGGCCACGTGAGCAAAAAAATGGGACCCACGTTTGCCAAGTCAGAATTTAACAGACTTATTAACGGTTTAACTAACACATGGTGTATTTTGAAAGGTTCTATGAAATTTGTGTACCGGTCAAATGGATCAATAAACATTGAGTATGATTTTGTAATGACCCTCATAGTTTAGGAAGTTTACTGTAGTTAATCCTATATTTTTACGAAAAATTTGATGGAATTCAAAAAAGTTGACAACAATGGCGACATTGGCTATTTTTATAAAGTTTAATTCCTTAAATTGGTTGAAGTTAAAAAATAATTCGGAAGATAAAACCAAACTAGAGTAATAATTGAAGGGGGAAAACGGCAGTGTACCCAAACTTAAAAGTTGGACAAAAAATAAAGGATTAATGGTTTTATTAATCCCTGAACTTAGACCCGATTTGCATTTGAGTACCTCAATTTCCAAAATGGTTCCCGTGGTCCTTCAATTTCATTTCGTTAAGACAAATAGTCATGTCGTCAATTTTGTTAACTTTTCTGTTAAATACAAGGGTAAAATAGTATTTTTATATTTTTTTTTACATTTTATATTTTTTAAAATATAAATAAAATATTTATATATAAAAAAAATGAACTTCGAAATGGACAAAAAAAGTAATAAAAAATTCTTCTTCTTCTTTTTTTCAAATATTTATTTAAAAAAAATTAAATTATATCAAACAAATAAATTTAAATTGAAAACAAAAAAATCTCTCCCCTTCTCTCTTCCCTTCCCAGCCAACCCAACCATGACCTCACCCATCCTTTCCCAGCCCCTCTCCATCTCCATCTCCATCTCCATCTCCATCTTCGCCTCTCTTTCAGTATAAGTTTTGATTTGATTTAAATGCACGATGAATTATGCATACATATAAGAAAAACTCAAGATTATGAAAAATTGGTCTTTGATACAACAACAGATTTTGATTTGGAATGGGGTCTCCTTGAGCTTTTTCGATTTTGTTGTGTACTGCACGTCGGTTGCATCGATTTCCGGGTGTTTCTCCTCCATGTAGGCGGCGAAGTAGCGGTTTTCGTCGATGAAGACGGTGCGGCCGTTGTTGTTGAGGGCCTTACAGAGGAGGGTCTCGTGGGTGAGGCCAAAGATGAGGAAGTTGCAGGGGGTTGAGCATTTTCGGAGGGCGTCCGAGATGGGCTTGATGTCGGCGTACGACATTTTGAATGTGTCATTGGATTTGGTGGCATAGTAGAGGAGGGTGTTGATGATGGTGGTAGGGAGCTGGGGGACGGTGGTGGGGAGCTGGGGGACGACTGTGGAGGCGGTTGTCGTGGTGGTTATTGTGGCGGCAGAGATGGTGGTTGTTGTGGTTGATGAGTATGCGTACAAGCCGCTTGTGTAAATGATTGTGAGAAGGAAAGCGAGTGTGAAGATGGACATGAAGGCTAGAATCCATAGGTGGTTGGAGGTTCCCTGTTTCTGGATGTAGGGGTGGAGAAGGATCAGCTTTGTGTTGTTGATGTTCTTCATCTCAACTGGGTTGAGAGATCAAACAGAGAAAGAGAAAGAGAGAGAGGGGGACGATGATTGATTTTTAATTAATTTTTTTTTGTGTTGGTTTTTTATTTGATGTTCTTTTACAATTTTAAAGATATAATTTTTTATTCATTTTTTTTGTTTTAATATAAAAATACCATTTTATCCTTGCATTTAACAGAAAAAGTTAACAGAAGTAACGGTGAAACTAGTTGTCTAAACGAAACTAAAGTTAAAGGAGCACAAGTACCATTTTGGAAATTGAGGTACTCAAATGCAAATCCGGTCCAAGTTGGGGGACTAATAAAACCATTAACCCAAAAATAAAAAAGAAAGGTTTGAGGAATTACCAGCCGGTCCATGGACTGCGCGCCTTTTTTGGGCTCAAAGTCAAGGCTTGAACCAGGTGAAGTGACGGGCTTAAATCAGGCCGGGGCGAAGCCCGCGGGCCTGATAGAACACAACGGCATGTGAAGACAGTTATTAAGGTACGGCGTCGTATGAACTGGCTTGGCTCCAAGGCAGTATTATTTTCCCAGTCGCTTATCTGCCCTTGGCGCCTGTCTCTCACAACAGAGAAGAAGAAGAAAATAGAGAACCACCTTTGCCGATCCTAAACATTTTGTTTTGGTACACAAGGTTTATTCAATTATTTTCTTTCTCATTTTATTTTGTCTGCCATAGTTGTTATCTCTGTCGAACTAAGATATACGATGTTAAAAGGTACGTAAATCTGATTATACATGAAATAGACGTTTTCCGTTTTGGGTATTTCTTGATTCATTGCTTGCGTAACCTTTCTCGGGCTTATATTATTCCTGAATGAAAGAATAAAATGGAAAATCATTTATGCTTGAGTATTCATTTTTCAAAGGAAATTACTTGTAATGTATGAAATAAAATGTGAGTTTAATTTTTTTTATTTGTAATGAAACGATGAAGCATAGCCATCGAAATTCAAGGATACTGTTTTTGTATATATGGCAGGAAATTAACCGTGTTGCTGATTTGCTGTAGTGGGTATCAAAATTTTCCCGGATTGTGAATTGGGTTCTTGACCATAAAGAGAAAGAATTGGTGAAAAACATTAATGGGGAATAATATGAGGGAAGAAATCATGATTTTGGATTGGAACCAGGAGCCTCGTGATTCAGTGATCAGATTAGAATCCATACTCAATGAGCTTGAAACTGCCAATGGACGCATTGAAGAACGCATCAGACTACTAGAAGCGGTCACCTTCAGGGCTAGGCAGCGTGATAGGTGGCGACAACCTCATGCTTCCCCTCAGATGGTGAATATCACTGCAGGAGTTGGAGCTTCTGATGCACTAAATGAAGGCATTCAGAATGGGAACGATGCTCTAGCTACCCGAGAAACAGTGGAATCTGGCAAAACCAATAGAGGTGACAAAATGCATTTGGTAGCCAAGGCACTGGGGATGGAGACGAATGCTAAAAAGGCAGAGTCTCGTTCTGGGAGCTTCTTTGATTGTAAGATATGCTTGGACATGGCAAGAGATCCTATATTGACATGTTGTGGTCATTTGTTTTGTTGGCCATGCTTCTGTCAGTTGCCATATGTGGATTCATATGCAAAGGAATGCCCTGAGTGTAAAGGAGAAGTTACTGATAAAAGTCTAATCCCAATTTATGGGAACGGGGATGGTAACTGTTCTCGCAAGTCAAAGGAGTCTGTTCCGATGGCCCCTCCTAGGCCCCGTGCAAACAGGATTGATGGTTTTAGGCAACAGCTTATTAGTCGAGGACCATCTTCTATTTTGATTGAAGAAAGGATTCAGCAAATTAGCGACATAGTTGGTGCAATGGGGGAGAGAAGACGGTCACACGATCTTCTCGGTTCACATATCATGGCTGAAAGAACTACTTTCGTGCCCAGATCCCAGGCATCACCTGCCACTGAGACAACAAGTCACCCACAGCATGATTCCCTTCAAGTTTCAAGATTATTACAAGGAGCTGCTTCAGTATCTTCCTTTTCTTCAGCATTGAATACTGCAATGAATTCTGCAGAAAGATTAGTCGAGGACCTCGAGGCATACAGTAGTAGTCACAATGTGAGAAGAAACCACCAACAATCTCCACATATTGGTAATGGAGGTACATCTTCAAGCATCGCTGCAGTTTTACACCCAGACAGCCAGACTTCTGATACTGCTGCTGAAATCAATTCTGATGTGCCCCCTTCTGATTCTTTTTTAAGAACTGATACTGTTGTTGTGGACTTGGAAGACCAGACAACGGATTCAGAAATAAATTCTACATTGCCCTCTTCTTCTTCTCGGAGAAGAACTAATCCAAGAGGTTCTGATGTAAACAATGGACATTCATCTGAACGTAGAAGGAGAAGGTTGAGATAAACAAAAAGCTGTTTCCCCGGGGAAATAGATCAAAATGATGCAAGGTTCCTCATTGTGATACTGACGTTTGCAGAAGGTTTCGACTTTTTTCTTCATATGGCTGTGTATGCCAACCATGTATGAAGTTCCGACTGCTGTTAAAAGCATTTTTCAATTCATCCTGTAAAAAGATAGTCAAATGTGTTGTATGGCATCTGGTTATAATAAGAACACAGTCATGTCTTCTTATTTCCAAGAATTGAACTTTCCATGGAATTTCAGTGTTGTCCTCTTTCAAGGGATGTATTGATGATAGTTTCTGGTGTTGTGCCATGGAACAGGGGCCTTTCTATGCGCCAAAGAGCAGTTCATATGTGTAAGTCTTATAGATACTACTTCTAGTTTTTATGTCTTCTAGGTGCTTTATATGTTGGTATGTATATCTACTACTAGCTTTTGAAATCATCAGCTGCTAGTCCTTTAATCTGATACTTTCTTGGATTTTGTTATCACAAGTCCAAAACTAATAGCTAGGTGAAGCGTTCTTTTACCAGACACCAATTTTCTCAGTATTTTTCATTGGATTATTTGAAAAGTGTTACAATAAGATCATTTTAATCTATATTTGCCAACCCAACCCTGTAAGTTTGGAAGAAGAAATAAATATAAAGTGCAATGGGATCTTTTGTTGTCCCATAACGTAAGCTGCACCCTGGTATGTTAAATTTGACTTCTTGAAACACCTTGGACATGGAGGTGAAGATCAGGACTACATTTTTCAATTGGCTTTGTATGGGAATTTGACATCTAGTTCTAGAGGTCCTCTTTCTATTAAATTATACTTTTGCTTTAAGAACTTAATGCTAATGCCTTTTAGGATGGCAGAAATGTGACAAGGTAACAAATCTAATCACTCAAAATTCAAAAAGGATTTTGATCACTTTTTTTTTTCTTCATTCTTCTTAGGTTTTGATGTCTGAATCATTAATAGGTATCTAATTTTTACTTTTTTGATGTATGATTTTCGTGTCTACTACTTTGAGTCAAAATGCATCAAAATCAAATAGCCACCTCAATATCCAACTTGGGTTGCAGCACGTATCTTTTCAAAAGTCTTTTATTAGTGAAACGGCCTACTTTTGTGTCAAATTGCATTTGACAAATTGTCCTCATCTTTAAATGTCAGTCTATTAAATTCTTGGTTGCAATGTGTAAGATTCACATCTATCAAAAATGATTGAGAGCTATTTTTTCATTTGTTTTACTGTTGTTCTTATATGTAATCATAGACCAGGAGGACAATACTTGCACTGCCAAACTCTGAACATTGATGACTTCCAGTTCACCGTCCTTTGGAACAAAAGGTAAACACTTCCCATATTTAGACTCAAAGGCCAAGACAGTGGGCCCTCAGTTTATTTATTTGATCTTTGATGTTCTGGCATCTGACTTGTGAATTGCTCACTCTGTTATTATAAGACCTGATTTTCTTGTTGATTGTGGAGTTAATGCACCTTACTTTGCTGCTTTCCATATTAGGGCATATAGCATTTACCTCATTTATATTTGTTGTCCGGTTCACCAGCTTCAGTTATGCTTATTTAAGGTGATATGTGAGATGCCATAAAACATTCATAGAACATCAAGTTGATTTCGTCTTTTGTCCATGCCTGATACAGTCCATGAGTATTACATCTATTTACCAAAATGATTTCTTCTGTGACCAAGAGTCAAGTATACGTCCTAAGGTAGTCCAGTGATGACTTAAAGAAGTATCAGCCATTGAACACTTATTTAACAGTCTCTTTTCCCTCGCTCATCAAGGAAAACTCATTACCGCATCCTAGAATGAGAAATACATGTTTCTGGTTAGAAAATGATCTCCTTCTACCTCCCTTCTCTTAGTACTAGTTTTTCTATTGATCACTAAAACTAGTTATAACATTCTGTACTACAATAGAGGAGTTTCTCTATGAAAGCACCATCTATATGATTTGGTAACAGTGAAAGTGAAGAAGATCTAAAGAGTAAATCAATATCAATTTTTAATGTGGGATTTTATGAAGGTGCACCTTCTTTTCAATGAATTTGTCTGCCTTTTTCCTATCTTCCTCTATACATATCTCTAGGTTGTACAGCGTCCTTGAGGGTTTGGTAATGAAATTGTGACATACTTCATAACTCTTAGATGTTTTGCCTCAAAGATGGTCAATGACTTAGTGAATCACTTCAGTGAGAAAGATCAGCTTTTGCCAAAAGGTCGTGTTTGGGTTTCAGTTCAAGATTCAAAAAGATTGAAATGCTGTGATAGCAGACAAAGAAGTAGTTGTTGTTGACATACCGTCAGAGGTATTCTTTAAATTTAGAATAGTATTTGGCATGTTTCTCATTGACTATAAATCATGATGTTAACCTTAACCTCTTATGTGAGTTTATTGATCTTAAGCAAAGTTTTTGTAGCATTTCTCAAGTTTCAATTTCCTCTCCCATATTTCCCATAATTTAATTGCTTCCAGCTTATTATTGTAAGTGTTAAACTTGCTACTAAAAGTATGTAAGTTTTTCGTTTGGGATTGAATTCTTTTCTTTTTCCTTTGTTTTCTGAGACTAAAAGAGAAAAACTGAAATTTTATCAGGCAGGAAAAATTTCTGGCTGGAAAGCAATTTGCCATGGCCAGGTGC